AGATTTCTCCCAAAGAGTCCTTGAAATAATATTTTCAAATCTTTCGTCTTACTGGCATAATAAAAAAGTTAAGATGCTCCAGCCTGTGGTAACTCATCTGAGGAGCACGTATTGTGTCTTCCTCCACACACATACACACAGGACTTAAAAGGCTAAAAAGAGAAATATGTAGAGTTGAGATAATAAACCCATTAATATGTGCCTTTGTTGTTATCATTTAACTTTAGAATACAATACAGGTGGGAGAGTGGGACTTGTTGGGAACAATAATCTCATTCTTAAGTATCCTTGGTTTTGATAGTGTTGCCTTTTTGCATTATTTGGTCATGTTTATTGGAGAGGTAGAATCCATCATATGCAGAGTAAAGTAAGTGGGCCTAACAGAGCAAATGTAACAGTTAACATTGAGTAAAGCAACATTAAACTACTCCTGTTGTACTCCTTAGCAGGTTATTTAAATAGCTTGTGCAAATTAACCCACAGATTGGCTGATACTGTGTGTGCTATACATTTGTGTGCTATGAACTGCATGTCAGTGCAGTCTTGCTTGTTCTCACTTGAGCCGATGAAAGCCTTGTATTGAATTTGAGATGGAGAGCTTCTTTATCCCATCACCTCAGGGCAATCACAGACATGCTCTCCTCCAACAGAACCTAGTCCATTGTAAGAGCAGCAACCTTAGCAAGGTTATTTACTGTATCCTAATCACTATTAGGATCCTGAGACATAATGTGCAGTGGTTCTTGCTCAGGATGTGGAGTGGGGTGATCCATTAATTGCCAGGTTGGTGATTTGTTCCCCAGCTCCTCATGTCCACATGTTGAAGTGCACTTTAGCAAGACACTAAACCCCATTGGCCTGACCAAGGTCTTGTTAGCACCACCACCATTACTGTGTGAATGAGAGACAAACTGTTAAGTGCATCGTCTGCTAAGGTAGACAAGCAACATATAAGTGCAGTCCATTTACCGTTTACATAATTTACTTAGTTGAGGGAGGGGGGCACAGATGTTGTTAACCACTATCGCTGAAAGAGATGGCGTAACCTGTTTATATGTTGATGGGGTTGGTGGAGTAGATGTTGGTATTTTCTCTTCTTGGACTAGACTTCAGATCCAGGAAGGAGTTGAGAGGGTTAAGCCAGCTTGGGCTCCATCCATGCTGCACCAGTGAATTCCCACACCTAACTGAGTGTAGGTTGGAAGACCAGCAAGTGGCTGCTGGATTGCTATCAAAAAAATATCTAACCACCATTTTAATCTCAGTGTTTGTTTGCTACTACAAAATCTAAACTACTATACTGACCTAATGCCTGGAACCAAATTCATCAGAAAGGAAGGGATGTGGGAATGACAGTGTACTGTTCTGTAGCAAATCCTTTTCAGTTTAGTTTAGTTATAGATTATGTATCAAACACCAACACCTTGTACTATTGGTGGGACTCCTACCCCTTTTACTACTGCTGCTGCTATAAACCTAATAAAAATTTCCACCACCACCGCACACTCCTCATCACAAATACCTTTGAGACCATTTTTGATTTTGAACTCCGGCTGAGTCTCACCAGAAAGCCCCCTGTATGTAATTCACACATTGGGTTTACAGAGAAATGGATGATGCAACCCTTTACTTGCACAATAGATCCTTCTCAGAATGGATCTGACTAGAAACCAGTTACTTCTTTTTTTAGACTCTTCAAGTGCCAATGCAACAACATCAAGCAACCTCCAGGTGGGAAAGTAGGATCAGGAAGAAAAAACGAGATGAGCCCCGGCAGCCTTTAATTCCCACCTCTATCGGGGGAATTTACACAGAGCAGACACAGTCATCCTTCAAGTGATCAGTAATCCACACAGACTGCAACCTGGAATTCTTTACCAAAATAAGAGGCAGTCAGGCTGCTCTTGCCATAAGAGACCAGGAGAATTCAACAGAACAGTCTTTCTGTATGTGAACAAAGTAGAAAAGAAAGCCACTGTGCCTTAAGAGGTATAAATGGCACACAGAAGCAGAGAAAAGTCTACATGAGGAATCTAAGATATAAATGACATGACATTACATACCTCAGCATATAACCTAAAAGCTGCTCTCACCGGCATCATCCTGACAATGACCGTGCCAGCCTGGATGACAAAGACTTAGCAGTTCCCAGCCTGCTGAGAGCTCAAAGGGATCACCAACCTCTGTGCCATCAGCTAACCTGCATGGTGGACCCCTGCCTCAGCAGCAGGAGACTGCTTCACTGCAGGCTACCATATAAGCATGACATATACAGTAGGTACTGTCTGTACATCACATGTTAAAGGGGCTATAAGTTTTCTCTGCCGCTGAAAAGAGGTTATAACGCACCCGCAGTGCTACGTTTTCAGGACAGATTGGAGGCTACAGCGACTCGCTATCATTCAGTGATGAGACTAAGGGACTAGCTGGTTAGCCTGCTAACTTAAGCAGAAGAAAAGACATCATAGAGACAAGAGTTAACATTGGTGTTACTTTCCACCGCTGGAGACAGCTCTTGGCGAGTAAAGGAATGAGGTTTGATCCTGAACTCGCGTTGTTTCTTTTAGACTGCTAAGTGAACAGCTATTAATGCTAACACTGGCTATGTAGCAATAGCGAAACTTAAATATCTCCTTTAGGGGAGAATATCATTTTGAAATCTTATTATGGAAATATACAGCTTTCACCTTCGTAGGTAGTGGCATTCCTAAGCTGTCATCATTACCTAAGTGATTATTAAATCAAGTGTATTTCCTCTGTGGAATCCGTTTCCCGATCATAAAGGTGGTGCAGTTATTGATCGCTCCCTTGTCCTCCCAACCATTTTATTTTAATCGCATCATGACTAAACAAGGTGACAAAAGAGAATTATAATCTCTAAATGTATTTATTAACATGGTTATCCCTTTCACATTCCGCATTTGACAGTGTGTTGCATTTCCATATCTCTGCTCATTGACTGTATATGAGAATAGCTGTTCATTGCAAAGTTTTTGACTCGTCTGTGAAGAAGTCTTTTGATATACGAGTCCCCCAAGTTCCCAAGAACTACAAGAGAATTCAGGTACGTGGTTCATTTCATGTATTCCCAAACCATATTTGCTACAGCATGAGGGTGTGTCTATCTTAGGATGTGCTGTCAGTTACAATATGATAGTGTCCTGTTTGATCCTGCTGCCTCAGCAGTGTCACTTGGATGGACCTAGGGTCCTTGGAGACAATAGTCCAAAACCAATTCCAGGAGAACTCATATGGATAGTACTCCCCATACGCACGACATGACTTACACTATACTATGATGAAAATTTTAGTGAACAGTTTATATACCCATTGTGAGCCAAAAAGTGCCCATCACAGTATTGTGTTGTTTATGGTTCAGTCAGCTAAGAAGATAATTAAGAAACCTTCCCTCCAACTGTTGACTACAAGTTAATGCTATAACGCAACTGCCAATAGCCTCGCTAAGTTATGTGCTATTTTAAGTTAAGTTTTGGCGAGCAAAGTTTATCCATCTTTGTTCTATCTCATATGCAATGTGGGTTAATCTACCCATCTATGCATCTCTCAGTAATACTTGTTCATTCTTGTGCCTACATTATTGCTTAGAGACAACAACAAGCTCCAGGCCCAGCAACACTGAAATAATGACTGCTTGTTTTTAGCATTTCATGGCTTATTAACATTTAACAACTCCAAAGATTATGTAAAGATTTGGGCTGCGGGGTGAAAAGTTACTTGAAGAATAATAAGGCCAATATAGGTCTCGATTCTTCTTCTTTTATTATTTACCTCTGTGGCAAGCAAGTGGACACAATTTCTAAGATGAGTTTGGCAACCTCAAGCATACTTTTTTTACCTTTTGCAGTAGAACAGGCTCAGTGACTTTCCCTATTGGCCACTCTAATGTTATGTTTGCCAACAACAAAGTGTGGTGGAGGAGGGATAGTTATCTGGGGCTGATTTTAATGGTATTGGCTAGATCATTTTAATTGCAATTAATATAAATCTGAATTCTACAGCATCAAATGATATTTAAAAAAAAAAGCCAAAACCAAAGTTCACAAAAAAATATTTTTCCCAGTTCGGTGTGGAGGAACTTGACTGGGCTTCACAGAACCCTGACCTCAATCCCATCCAACACCTTTGGGATGAATTGTTGCACCAACTGTAAAGCATTCCCTATTGCCCAAAATCAATGCCCAAAAACTCACTCATACTCTTGTTGCTGAATGTGAGCAGATGCCTGCAGCCAAATTCTCAAAGTCTTGGGGGAAAGCCTTCCAGGGAAGATGGGGGACTGCTGTAGCCGCAAGTATGTTAGGAGCAGAGCATGTATTTGAGGAAATAATCTCCAATTTGAAGTGGTCAATTTCTTAAATGAGGGAATCATTTATCACAAAATTTCCCCCGGAGACTTAAGTGGAACATACCTGCTGCATCATATAGTGCCACATCATTAGACATGCCAAACAGACAGAGGAATCAGACGGTGTGGTAGCTCGGATAGACTCATTCAGAGAGTCGAAAAACTATGATAATACAACTGTGATTAACTTTTCTCCAGCACTGACATTTTAAAACAGGACAATGATGTATCCTGGACGAAACTGCCCAGACAGCCTTATGCCTAGCTTGAAAAATACATTGAATAATTGGCGGGCTGCTGTTTAGCAGAATAAGCAGAAGGCTAGGTGATCAGTGTTTCTCAGTAAGAGGTGATCAGATCATGTTGCCTCATTAGCTCGGTTTGTTTTACTAAGTGCTGTAATGTTTTTTGCGGCAAACCAGTCAGTCAGAACTAAACTGTCACTTAATGTCTGCTGACTGGCAACTTTCACGCCTGTTCATCTGTCTCCACACATACACACACACAAACACACACACACACACACACACACACACACACACACACACACACACACACACACACACACACAGAGGCGGGCGTGTCCAGGTGGCGATGGGAGTATTAATGGAGAGAAGTCCCTCAGGTCAGCTTCACACCAACCAGCTCTCTACAGCACCGATACTGCTCCTGCACATCTCATCCATTTCCTCCTCTTCCAACTATAGGTAAGCTGTTATCCCCCTCTTCCACTCCCCCTTCTCTATTTACTCCTCCATCTCATTCTTCTATCCTTTCACCATCATTTTCTCCATCTTTTCTTTGATGCTCTTTTAAAACGGCGGCACTTTACTTCCATTACTCCTATCTACTTTTATCATCTTCTATCTTTGACCTCCTCTTATCATCCATCTTCGTTTTTTTTTTTTTTTAACCTCATTCATCCCCTCTTCCTCTTTCACTATTTTTGATTAACAAATAGATAGCTTTCCTGCTTCTGCTTCCTCATTCAAACATGTCTGTGTGGGCAGCACTTCTCCGTTATGGCGGCACTGTGGCTCCATACTGCTTCCGTGCTGGTCTTACTGGTCATGTCATGCCCGGGCTCCCAAGCCATTGCCTCGCAGTACCTGTGTGGCTCCCACCTGGTCGATGCTCTTCACCTGATCTGCGGAGACAGAGGTTTTATCTACATGCCCACGTCAGGCGCCAACCCTGTGCCCCGTGAGACTACCAACTGCAAAACACTTCACAACACAAAACAGTATCGCTGAGATGCACTATATATTAGTGATAGAGGGACATTTAGGGTCTTCTTCCCAAAGAGCAACTCTCTGACTGCCTACATACAGGATATTAATCGTGTGCTACACAACAATTCAGACTAGCGTACCAGCCTCAGTTCAGTTCCTCCAAGCTTTGTGTGTGCTAACTTTAAACTAGCCTGATGACTTTTGCCCTGAACTGTCTGTCCCATCAGGCGTCCTTCCTCCAATGGCGAGAGGAGCAGCATCAATGGGCGGCGAGAACGAGGGCGCCAAGTTTGCCTCCCAGGACCAGATGGAGATGATGGTGAAGCGGAACATTGTGGAGCGATGCTGTCACAGGCCCTGCAGCCTCTTTGACCTGGAGAGCTACTGCTATTGAACAGCCAGCATAGCTTAGCTTCTTGGATAACTGAGCATGCAACCCCCCCCCCCCACCCCC